AAAGTGGTATTAATACTTCACGTGATCTTGATTCTATCCCTCTGTTAATGCAGCCCAGCACTGTGTTGGCTTTTTTGGCAGCTGCAGCACACTGCTGGCTCATATTTAAGTGATTGTCCACTAGGACTCCGAGATCCCTCTCACAGTTACTACTATTGAGCAAGGTACCCCCTATACTATACCTGTACATTTGTTTTTTTGTGTACAAAAGAACTCATTGGGATTTGAGCCATCTTTAAACAAAATCTATACAAAACTGAAAAGTTCACAGCAACGTTTTCTGACACTTTCCAAATTTTGCATTCCAACATTTCCAGAATTCTGATTATAGGTGAAAGTAACAATTACCTATACTGCATGTTTCTTTCTTCCCCCCACCATATTAACAGCTATTTATTTATTTATTTAACAATTTTCACTATTTACCCTTTCTTTCTACAGATTACCCACAACCTCCAAATATTACAATGATTATGTTGGGTGTCTCTACTGCAGTAGTCGTCACCGGGATTGTATTACTTTCCATGTGGAAATTGTTTATTTCATTTGAAGATCGTAAAGAAGTTGCTAAATTTGAAGCAGAGAGGTCAAAGGCCAAATGGCAAACGGTATGTAAAAAAAACAAGATTCAGGACAATATTATTGTAAACAGTTGCAAGATAAAAATTGCTACTGTACCATAATAGAGCCAATTTGGTGTAGTGGTGAAAGCGCTGGCCTAGGGGACTGTGTGTAATAGCCCCATTTAGACATAAAGCTGGCTAGAATCTCTCTCTCTCAGCCCAACTCACCACACAGTAATCCTAACCCTAAGACCAACACTAACCCTGTCCCTAATCTTAATGTTGCTTTTTGGCTGTGACATCAGGGAAGTCAAAATCTAACGCTAACGCTAACCCTAAATCTAATGCCAACCCTAACCCTAACCCTCACTCTAATCCTAATCCTAATCCTAACACTAACCACAACCTTAACCCTAATATCAATCCTAACCCTAAAGCCAATGCTAACACTAACAGTAACCCTAACTTCAATAGTAGTCCTATCCCTATTACTAACTCTAATCTTTATGCTAATGGCAATTCAAACTATAATGCCAATACAAAATCTGACTCTAACCCAAACACTAATCCTAATTCAAATCCTAACACCAATGCCAACATTAAGCCTAACACCTAGGCTAAACCTAATCCTAAACCTAATGCCAGTTCTAAACCTAGTGCTCACTCTATTCCTAACACTAATGTCAATGCCAACCCTGACCCTGACTCTAACCTTAACATTGGCTTTTCGCTGTGACATCAGGGAAGCCTAACCCTAATCTAACATTGACTTTTAGGCTGAACTTCAAGGAACACTAACCCTAATCTTAACCCTAACCCTAATGCCAATGCTAGGAGAGAAAGAGAGAGAAAGACAGAGGGAGACATAGACAGAGAGACATTTCCCTTAGAAACAGACTTGTCCAGCTAGGAAACTGGAAGCAAAAGACAGAAGGGAAGAAAAGTAGGGGACAATGGCTCCTTTGTTGCAATAGGACTGGTATCAAAGAAAGAATTCTCTGCCCTACCTCTCTCTTACCCCTGAATTTGTGCTTTGTTGTGCTTTGTGGCCAACAGTGGGTGACTAAGGATTGCAAGCAGTTCACTGTTCTTTAAGCCAGCAGAACTTTCTTCCAGTTCCATGCTGAATAACAGCTTTAATGTTGCCACACAGAAGAGCCCTTGGTATCCAGTCGCCATTGATAAGACCTGTCATCGATGAATTTCTATAATCATTTACAGTCATTCAGAATAGTGGCCATCACCATGTTTAATACCAAAATAAATCCAAAGTTTGCTTATGTTCTGTGCAAAGAAGAACTTCCTTTGTCTATTCTAAATCTCCTATCTGCTGTAATCAATGGCTATTGTTATGACAAAGGACAAAAAACATCCCTGTCCACTTTATGCCATGCATGGTTTTATAAACCTAGAACCCCTAGATCTCCCACACTCAATGTTTTTCAAAGTCTGAGAGTCCCAGGTGATATAATGCCTCCAGCTGGACAGATGCAAGAATGCATTGCAATCATTCCCAAGGAATTGAATTCTCAATATTCTGCTATTATGTCTACCTCACACTTCACAGCCATGTAAGATGGCTTGCAATACTGTGATATAAAACTGCCCCACACATGGCAAAAGTCAGTAGTGTTAATAGAAACCAAACCTGATATAGATTGTTTCTTTAAAAATGAGTATTTATTTTGGATTCACAGTAGCTGTAAAAAGTGCTTTATCTTGGTAAATGTGTGGTATAAATGTATGTGGTCTTTGCCAACAAAGGCCCCAACTACACACAAGAATACCTTCCCCACGTATCCAGCTACACAGCAGAAGGGGCTGAGATTAAAGAGCCCCCAGGATCCCAAAGGCCATTTTTCCTCTTCTTTAAGTGTTGGCAGTTGCTACAACAGCTACAACTGCAGCCTATATTTCCAGTTCTTTGGAGAAGGTTGGATTACAGGGTTTAGTGACTGTGGTCTAGACAACAGAATTCCTGACAATTTGCCAGCAAAGTGGTCTGCTATGCAGGCATGGGCTGGGCTTCTGTCGGTAACTTGACTTCTGATAGGTCTTTAGCGGAGCTGGTTGCTCATAGAACATCAGGAAATCTGTTACATAGACCAAAGCACTAAACCAGGGGTAGGCAACCCAAAACACTCAAAGAGCCACTTGGACCTATTTCCCACCGAAAATAAAACACTGGGATATATTTTTACCTTTATATATCATAAAGGTAAAAAAGGATATA